CGTGCCGTGTCCAGTTTCTGCCAGCAAGGCCCTTGATGAGAGATTTTGCAGTTGGAATTCAGCCACCTTTAGAGGCTCCAGAAAGGGGGGAGGGATTAGAACAACCTTAGTTCAACAGCCAGATGTTCATTTGAAACAGGTTGCTAAGATTAGGGAAGAGATAAAGAAAATAAGACTAGGTGACATATTGATCTGCTGCTTGGTATTAAAATTCTACATACTGGTTTGCTGAGATAAGAGAAAACACATAAACGAATGGACCTCAGAATGTAGTGGAGCCTGTTTGGAAACTCTTCTGTGGATTTTAATCCTTCCCAGGCCCATGGACTATTTTTGTTGTAAATGTTGTGTGGTAATGGCAATGGCAAGCCTGTGGCAGTGTGATGCATGCTGGGTTGCCCCACCCTCTTCCCACAGGTATCTGCCACAGTATCTTGATGCCATTCTCAGGATTTGCGATTCTGAAAAATATTTGATCCTACAATAAAGTGGCATGTAAAAAGGGAGAGGTGCGGGATGGTTACGCTGACTCTGACGTCATCGGAGTTGCTTCCCTGAGGCAGGTAGCTCTTTCATGCTTCCTTAGCTGTCTGTCCACTGTGTTATCGCTGTCATCCCCCATGTTCTGGAATGGTTGCTGGCCTGTGTTGGATGAAGGCTCTCAAACAGTTCTTGGTCTGCTGTGACACATATAACTGACCACAAGGGTTTGGACCAGTGTTGGCCGCTATTGATCTGAAGGCCAACTCTGACCAGTTCTGAAGTTCAAGCCAAATGTTAATTAAAGAACAGGAACTGCTCTTGCTAAATGTAAAATTCAGCACTCTGTCTCTATCCATCCACACGGTGGATGGGAAGAATTAGATATGCAGTAATATATATTCTCAAGCGACAATTGCAAGCACCTCTGTATTTATTGTTTGTAGTTGTCTTACACTCCTACATGGTGGCTCTAATTCTTCATTGCAAATAATAGTTATTTGTGTATCTAATTTGCCTATATTGTCCAGTTTCCAAAGCACTGGCTGCTCAATCCGTTCATGTGGCACACGGATGGAAATTGTGTACTTTACTTCATTAATGCATCTCAACTAGTTTCCTTTCCAAAATATGCTTTGCACGAACCCTTAAAAATTGCACCCAGTCAATGGGATGGCAAGTCAAGTTCTTTGCTGAAGTGCTGCACAAATGAAATAAGTGGAATCAACCCCTTTTCACTTCCTACCCATCTGACAAGCCTCAAAAAAGGGCCAAGTCCATCCAGTTTCTTGGGGAAGAACAACTGCATTCCAAGTGTCCAGAAGCTGCTACAGTAGTTGTGTGGTCTAAGGTAGTTTGAGGTCACCTTTTAAAATTTCCAAAGACCAGAGAACAGCGCCCATGCAAAATAAAACAGCAAGAGAACAAGTAGTATTTTCTTCTCTCCGTTGCAAATTACTCATATTTAGTGGTATGTTCTAAGAGCAAACTAGGTATTTATACACTTTGATGGTTTAGAGAGCAATCCTTGAGGCCAGCTGACTAAAAGTTCAAGTAGGCTGAGATGCACTGCAGCCTAGACCATGCCTGTCTTCCTTCCTTCTTTCCTTCCTTCCTTTTTTCCTCCCTCCCTCCCCTTCCCCTTCCTTCTGATTGCCCTCTTATCAGGGCAACTCTAAATGGCTAACAGTGCCTTTGATTAATTTTCTGAATAGAGTAACAATAGGTAAAAAACCAGATAAGTTAGATTTCCTTAAATACACATTGGGGGCTAACTAGCTGTGCCAGCAGATAACTTTTGATTAGTTAGGGACTGGGGAAAATTCTTGGATATGGGAAGCTAATTTGTAAAAAGAGTTTAACCTATATGAATAGCGAATTAGAATTTTTATTTATTTGGTTCAAATTCTCCAGGCTGCCCTTCAAAAGCTAGTGCTGAGACATAACGATACTGGCCAGAGAGTACTGTGCACCATCTTAACGTCCTGTCTCTTCTAAGTTCACCTATTAGATGTAATGGGCAACTCTGTCAAAAATACGACAGGAACACTTTTGCCAGTCAAATTGGTTTCTGTGAAGGGAATTAAGAGGACAAGCCACCTTACGATGGGAAATGATAAATGGTTTATAAAATAGATGCCTAATATCCATGGTTCAAATTATTTTAATATTAATGTGAAGAGAGATGAAAGATAGAAAGAGAATGATAAAAAAACATTTTATCTTCACTGAAAATAAACCAAAAGATCATTGAACAATCCAATTCAGAGTTCTGACTTGAGATACAAATGACCAAGAATCAAATTCTATTCTGGACACATTATGCAATGATCCAGCTCTCTGGAAAAAGTGTAATGCTGGGAAAGGTGGAAGGAAAGAGAAGAAGAGGACAATCAGCAGAAAGATTCGGTTACAGCAGTGACGGGGATTTTGTCATGAGTCTTGAAGGACCAGATTGGGTCCTTTTCCTGGAGAAAACCTATGTGATCTCAAAAGAATGGACCGTGACTTGATAGCACATAATTAATCATCAGTCAAATTGGATATTTCCCCAGTTTTGAGAAGTTGAAGATAGGCTGCCTAGAACTGAAATAATGGTTTCACATATTGCTTTGCAACTTGAATGAAGGATGTCAACCTGCATGAAGGATGGGCTTGCATCATGAAAACCAAGCCCCACAAACACTTTGCACAGCAGTAGTTGAATCATTGCGCAAAATATTCATCCTTTGACTCATGATCAGTCACATTATCTGACGGCAATGAAATGTGTCCATTTGACATTCATTTGGGTCATTCGGTGTCCTGGCAGTTGATTCACAGATCTTCCTAAATATGCATGTCTGTAACAGTATGTTTGTAGAGGGGAAAAAAACCTCATGAAATCCTTAAGATAAATTTAAATGTCAGTGATTTGGCATGAAGGATGGGAAGAACAGATAGGCCTCTGTTGATGCTTTATCCTGGATAGTGTTTTTCTTCTTTCTTGTAATCACTGGAAAAAAAAATGGAATCTGGGATTATTGCCTGTTCTTTTCTTTTTCTTTTTTTTAAGTTTTGCTGTGAAATATAAATAGAAACATACCCTTTTGGGACATGAGAGGGACAATCTGCTTCGAAATAAGAAAGGGACATTGAGTTGCATTACAAGAAACATTTGTTCACGATTGAATCAAATTATTTAGGGAGCCAGATTATTGTATCAATTGCTTTCACACTCCTGGAATCAAAAGAAAGTAATATTCAGCTCATGCTAGTTGCAGAGCTGTTTTACTTTCTTCTGTTCAGTTGTGTCTAGTTCTCAAAGACTGCCTTGATAAGTCCCTGCAGTTTTCTTGGCAAGGTTTACTTTGAAATAAATGGATTATATTTAATTCCAAGGGACAGACCTATTGTATCTGTATGTATGGCTTTTAATTGTTTGATAATGTCCCACAAAAAAAAAAAAATGCTGAGATCCTAGAAAGAGTTTAGAGAAGAGAAACAGATAAGGGTTCAAGAAGCCAAACCATGCTATGGGTGATTGAGGAAACTTAGGTGTATCTAGTCTAATAAAGAGAAGGATTAATGGGTAACATGATAGCTGTTTTCCAGTACTTGTGGGACTGTCATGGAGAAAAGGGAGTTGACCTATTCTCCAAGGTGCCTGAGGGCAGGACAAGAAGTAACAGATGGAAACTTATCAGAGATCCAACCTGGAACTAAGGAAAATTTTCCTGATAGTGAGAACAATTAATCAGGGGAAGGACTTGCCTTCAGAAGTTGTTGGTGATCCATCACTGGAGGTTTTCAATAAGAGAGTGGAGAACTATTTGCTAGTATGATATAAGTTCTCCTGCTCAAGCTCAAGCTGAACTGGAAGGCCTCCAAGTTCCCTTCCAACCCTGTTCTATGTTTATGTTATTCTATGTTCTAAACACACACTCACATATGTATGCACACTGTCCAATGTCTATAGAAGAACTTGAGTTTGGAGCATTGAATCATCAGTGGAGTAAGACACCTTCTTCAACTCCCATCAGTCCTAATTTACATGTTCCAAGTAAAGATGCAGGGAATTGTGGTTCAGTAACATCTGGAGGCCACCGTTACCCTATGTCTGCTATTTCTGCTATTTCCCTACGTATGCTCAATCATGGTTTGTATGTAGGTGGCCCTAAGACCACAGGCAGCACTGAAGTTTGTTTTGTATTATGTGTGTGAGATCCTCACGACCATATAACGTAAAGCTGACAGCAGTTTGCTATCATTTTGAGTTGGGAAACATACAGGAACTGTAAGCTAAACTTAAGATTTTGCTCATCACTGTTAAAAAATATCCCCAGAATGTCAAATCATTAATAGATTAATTGATGTATTGAATGGCCTTATTCAGCCACTTTGACTGCCAAAAGACTGCCTAACCCTGAATTAAATGCTACTTAAGACTTGGGTAACTCTTGATATTTGAGGCAAGCTAATATTTCTTAGCACTATGAGAACATGCACTTTTTCCAGGTCAGAAGACAGCTGAAAGTTGATTAGCTTTGTTCTTCATTTAGGGGGGATTCATAACAGGAGGAAGGAAGGAAGAATCAAGGCAAGGCTTGAATTGGCCTGCTATGCCTAGGCAGGCTTTCTGGTATTGCTATATTTCTCCAACTGAACAGAATTTCTGGATTTGATTAAAACAAGCTGCAAACCATACTATTAAAGCATACAATTAAAGCAATCCCCCACCCCCCAGACTTTCTTTTATTTTAACTACTTAGGCTTGTGAGTGAAAACAACCTGGGCCTCATTCAGGCCTCTGAACCACACACTACAGACAATAGAACCTGAGGGTCGTCAGGCTAACCTATTTGAAGAGGATCCCCACACAAGGAGCTGTCGCTTTAAGAGAAAGTTTATTCTGCAAAGAGTTAATATTCAGCCAAAAAAAAAAAAAAGTGGGGAGGTTATTGTGGTTGCAACATGTTTCTGTTAGAAGTGACTCACTCCACTGTTGGCCGATTTATAAACTTTGGAAAGGGGAGGGAAGATACCCGATGGATTGAGGGATCAAGGAGGGCAGAACAAAATCTGGGCTGTAGAGGAAGAGAGACAGTGGGGAATGAGGTTCTGATTTGCTGGGCCTGAAATCCAGAGTGGGAAGCAGTTATTGAAGTGCTCTTTGGACCTTCTTGGGGAGCAGTGCTGAGGAGCTGCCTCTGGCTTGGTGTGTGAGGAAAGCAGACATGAAGCTCCTGTCGTTGACTTTGCTCTTCCAGCTCTTCGCCTGGGTCATCTTGGCCAAGGGGGCTGCTCTCAACCGCATGGAAGAGGAAGAAGCTCTGGTAGGTTGGGCCCAGAGACCCCCCACCCTTTGATGGGAGAGCAGAAGCCTCTGTATGGTGGACCATCAGGAGGAAACAAGAAGGGTGGGAAGAGCTCACTCTCTGGCCTGACCAGGCCTGACTTACCTTACCTGTATCTCCAAAGCTCAGGCTTTTCTTCCTTCTGCTCGGACTTCAATCCTCAGTTCATCTTTTTTCCAAATTGAGTTGCTTTTATTCCAGAGATTTTTAAAACTACAATGTTTACAAAATACGGGGAGTTGAACATTTTCTGGCAAAACAGCCAAGTCTAACTCTTATGGGGGACAGTATATGTGTGCAAATCTTGCTTGTGTTGTTAGCAATAAGTCAGCATGCTTTGTGTTATAGAAAACAAGATTAAGTGAATAAGCCATGATTGAATTACCCAATGTAGATGTTGTGCCAGCACGGCTGGTCAGAAATGTTTCTTCCTGGTCCTGCAGGAAAGATTGGGGAAAGGCTTTCCAAGTATTTGTCTCTTTCTTTCTCTGTCTGTCTATCTATTATATCTCTATCTCTCTGTGTCTGTCAGTCTGTCTGTCTGTCTGTCTGTCTGTCTGTCTATCTATCTATCTATCTATCTATCTATCTATCTATCTATCTATCTATC